ACCCAAAGGTAGACACTGAACTGACTGAACCACCCAAGTGCCCCCACTAAAGCCACTGACAAACATTTCTTCTCTTCCCCCCCTACCCAAATTGTCAACATACATATCCTTATATGGCATTTTTAATTTTTAAAAAAATTTCTATTTATTTTTTAAATTTCTTTTCAGTGTTCCAGAATTCATTGTTTATGTACCACACCCAGTGCTCCATGTAATACATGCCCTCCTTAATACCCACCACCAGGCTCACCCAACCTCCCACCCCCCCGCCCCTCCAAAACCCTCAGACCGTTTTTCAAAGTCCACAGTCTCTCATGGTTTGTCTCCCCCTCCAATCTCCCCCAACTCCCTTCTCTCCATCTCCCCATGTTTTTCCTTGGCATTAAAAAAACAAACAAACAAACAAAAAAAAAACAACCTCTGGTAATTTTTCCCTTTAAGACTTTCTATATACATCTTTCATGTTTTATCCTTCAATAAAATTAAGTACTATAACTTACAGTATGACATATAGTACATATACGACAATAGGTGACTCACACACAGACACACATAACAGAAAATTACATTCACTTCTACTCATATTATTCCATTAAGACCCTTCAAAATATTGCCCATCCATATCTTATATCTCAAACTTTTGGAACAAACTGAGAAACATGAAACAAGTTAGAATATGAAGTAAAATTCATCTAGGAATTGCCATCTGAGTACTATAAATTTTAAATGTTTTTTAAAATAATTGACTAAATACCAGCTAAGATGTATTTACATGATGATTTTATTTAAGGCAAACAAAATCAGAAAACTGGGATCTTAAAGTTAGAAATTGTTTCAAAAGGCATCTGGTTTAACCATGAAGCAAATTTATGCTTCATTGCTCTATCTTTTTTTTATTTTACTAGCTACACACACATCCACTACTTCTGATATTGGAAGCCAAGGAAGATAAATGTAAATGGCAATATTTTAAGGTTGTAAATTTAAGTAGGTGGAGTCTGAATCGTATCCTGATGCTTCTTAAAAGTTCACATTACACTGCTTCACTTTTGCAAAAGACCTACATTTGTACCTGTTTCTGCTCACTGAAAGAAATCTGGGGAAGATTTTCACTTTTTTTTTTTTTTAAGATTTTATTTATTTATTTGACAGACAGAGATCACAAGTAGGCAGAGAAGCAGGCAAAGAGAGAAGGAGGAAGCAGGCTCCCTGCTGAGCAGAGAGCCCAATGCGGGGCTCGATCCCAGGGTCCTGGGATCATGACCTGAGCCAAAAGCAGAGGCTTTAACCCACTGAACCACCCAGGTGCCCCAGATTTTCACTTTAAAAAAAAAGGCCAAGAGCTAAAACAGGGCTCAGCATTCATTTCGCCACAGAGCCTTGATGGAGTTAGCGAGCACCCCAAGTGGTGAGAGTGGCGCCTCCAAGCTCCTTCGCCAGAACTACACTCAGCATCTTAGCATCAAGCCCTCAAGAGCTTTGAACTGTGTCTGTGAGCACCTGTGCTTTGTTTCAATTTATTCTGTGCATTTGCTAGCAAGAGGTGTCCCAAAGTATCAGAAAAGCCTGAGAAGTTACACCTTAGGTCTAGGAATGCATAAAAATTTTCCATATAAATTAATGGTCTTCACTTAATTTGCTCTATACCATTTTAGCTTATCAAAGGTTTTATAGGAATAATCCACTTTGGGATAGCAGGGGAAACGTGTATTAGGATAGCGAGTACGGACAAACCCTGGTACCTGGTGTGAATTCTCTGTTTTGATTTACTTCTGAGAGAAATGTTAGAAATGCTTCGAGCACAAACAGTAGAAAACCAGTTGATGGTAGAAATCCAAAATTAGACAACCAGATGTTAGATACCCTCTGTGACTTACTGCCATTCTGAGTGTCTCCACATTACAACTGTGGAGATTTATTTTGTTACATTCATTCACGTTTAAACTGTCCTACAGAGCAATTTTAACCAGCCACAAATAAACTCTCCATCTACATACCACACGTCATCTCTCACCGTCAGTAAAAGAATCACTGTGATATAGTGAACGCTGGCCTACCCCAACTATGTCTATGCCGTAACTACCAGAATCAGTGAGTATGTGACTTCCCATTGCCAAAAGGACTTCACAGGTATGAGGAAGCATCTTTAGACAGGGAGAAGAGATGGGATTATCTCAGTGAGTCCAATATAAGTGTAATCACAAGAGGAGGCAGAAGGGTCAGAGTGAGAGGAGAGGTGATAATGGAGTGTGTGTGTGTATGTGCACATGTGTGCATGAGCGTGAATGGGGAGGAGTTTGATAGATGCTATGCTGCTGGCTTTGACGACGGAGAACCAAGTCACAAGCCAAGTAATGAAGGAAGCCTCTAGAAACTAGAAAAGGCAAAGAAAGAAAGTCTCCCTTAGAGTCTCCAGATAGAACCTACCCCTGCTGATACCCTGATTTTAGGTTTTTGACCTCCAAACTGTAAGATAATGAATTGGTGTGGTTTTAAACCACGAAATTTTTGGTAAATGGAAAACTAACACAATCGTGAACACACAGACCCCTATAATCCTGCTACTGGTAATCAGGGTTTTGTTCTGAGAGCACACAAAGACCTGCAGAGTATCTTTAACCAGTTTCTGAATCTGTTACCCAGTGCCATTTCACCCAGACCGATGAATCATTTCACTCCCCACTTCCCCTCCCACTGACATGAATAACTGAGCTAAGTAAAGTCCTGGTCTGGCATTTGCTGTGGGACCTCAGGCAAATCACATACCATCTCTGGGTCTCAATGACATTCTTTATGAATGCTTGGACAAAATATTCAGAAATGGCCTGAAGCATCATAAAAGAGAGGCACAAAGTATTTCCTAATTCTATTGAGAAAGTAAGCACCACTGGCTGGAACAAGTGGTAAGTACTACCCATTAGAGCTCCTTCACAAAGATGACACTAGGGGTTATTGAGATTTGTTTGGATTTTAACAATACGTGATTCCAAATGTAGCAAGATTTGGTGCAGGATAAGCCTGAGGCACATTTCAAGCATACAACAACACAGATTTCTGGTGGCTAATGGATGAGGAAGGGTGGGGGTAAAAAGCACTGGGGACATAATGAAGGGTCTGGAACACCAAGGCAGTGCAGAGCCCCTGAGAGTTTCTGAAAGACTCTTATTATCTCTGCAGACTATATTCCATGAGTCCACTAGCATATGAATGGTACCCCACAGTGGCCTCCGGCAAGCTGTGTCATTCCTCTCCTTACCCCCGGTGCCCAGGCACAATACCAGTATTTAACACTGTTCACAGTATATGTGTTAAATGACTGAGTGAATAACCACAACTAGCCCTTCTCATCTTAAGTCTTCCCCTAAGGGCTATGTCCTGGGGGTGCCATTCACATCATATCATATGAGAATGGTGCCTCTTGGACTTTTGAAAACTGCAGCTCTGCCTCCTTTCATGCTCTGTCTTGGAGCGGTGGACCACGGGAGTTTTCTAAGCAAGAAACTATAAAGTCTGAATTTGTGATAGCAGCGGGAATGGAAAGGAGAAACAGGTGCCAGCATGATTGATTCTAGGGTGGTCTGGGAGATACACTTTAATACTCTTGACTAGTCCAAGTAAGATCTTACTTTATTTCTTTCTTATTTTCTTTAGAGTGTTTCTATAATAATCCATTACATAAAATCGGAACTCTTATGTATCTCTTGTTAAGTACAAGTTACTATTATTATAAACTTCACTCTTCTGTCAAAATTTATATTGATCCCATTTTTCTACTTTAGGATCTAGTACTTGAATCAAAATCAAACCATCTATAGCAGTATTTTAAGGAACTCAGAGAAAGACAACAAAAAAGTCTGAAATTGACCATTTTTTACAAGCATACCAAATACTTAGGCTTAGAAGCATTTTTCTTGAGTCCTATGTCATAGAAGCATTTGCCAAAATTGCACTGACCACCTTTATTTCTGTAATTTGTTTCCCAAAAATAGCTTAAATGATGAAGAGAACTAATGCAAAGCAAAAGTCATTTTGATTATAAAGCAAGCGTCTGATTCATATGGAGTATTTTGAAGTTATGCCCCTTTCTATTAATATCCAAGATCCCTTTGCATTTCTTTTCCACAAGAATAAAGTTAAAAAAAAAAAAAAAAACAACCTACCATTATGATCTTTTTGGAATTAGATAGCATATGCATAAATTAATAAATAAAATTCTTCTAATTTTAAACATATCAGATGATTAGTACTTACAGAATCAGATCAAAAAGTTATTAAGGAACATGGTACAAATTTCATTTGATACCTAACATATAAGTATAGGTAGCTAGCTAAAAAACAAACAAAAAAAAACCCCACCTCACTAGATTTCTATTTTATATTTAAGTGTATCACCTTGGGTATTAGACATGCTGCCAGCTATCTCTTAATGAGCACCTGAGCTGTCATTTTTAATAACAGCATGACAATTATTATCTATAAGTTATATTCCCTGAAAATCATTTGTGCAATACTTAAATTAATATAGGTAAGAATAGAAACTTACTATTCCGCCTACAAAAAATAGTAACATTTTATAATATGTGGCATTATATTACAGAAAACGAAAGGGACATATATTTACAATAAAAGATCAACATATGCACAAATGCATAGACCATTTTAATATGTAGCACAACTTTATACAGAATTTTAATAATGAATCTCGGTTATTCATTGTAAAAAAAAAAAGTCATTTGATCTGTATGAGAAAAATACACATATTCAAGATAGAATATAATAAAACAAGTGAGCCAAATACTTGGGCCATTCTGATCTCAGTTTTTTCTCAATTCAAAGCAGAGCTGAAAGATGAGTATCATACAAATTATCTAATTCATCTAAGTACACATGCCATCAGTATGTAATATAAGCAATCATCTCATAGCCCATGTAATCCATCGGTTACGGTATACTAGAAATTCCACTTTATTTTCAAATACTAAAAATTTTTAAAAATATACCTCTTCCACAAAGCTGTCTTTCTTCTCTAGCATTTCTCGTAAAGTCTGAAGAATTTTAATGCACAGCTTTTCTTCTTTCTCCATTAGTTTCTTTGTATGATTAATCAACCTTAAAGCAGAATATTACATCTTAAGTACAACAGTGCTTTCTCTTCAGGCTGTATACTAACATCATGAACTAGAGGGGAAAAAGTCATGCTATTATTTGAGAATATGAAGTAAACATGATACCTATTTTCAAAACTGAAAATCACACTTTAGCTCCCAGACTTTGTATTATAAAGCACCCTTTGCTCAACAGGCAGTATATCTCAGTGTTTTTACATTTATTCAAGTAGCAGACTTTTAATGGGATATAATACTCTAAAAGACAATGAGACACTGATTATCTTTAATCCCATCATATCAACTAAAACAACTTTGCTAGTAGAGAAATACCAATATTTGCAGCATATCACCTTTTATTATATTATGTTATACTACATTATTTTCTAGAGACTATATTACCTTAATTATATGGGCTCAGTAGCAGTCTAAAACACTGCAACCTTATCATAAGGGGTTGCTTTCCAGTTTCTGTTAATAATAATGATGTTGTATTTTTCCCCACTAGGGCTTAGAGAAATAGGCAGTTTGTGATTAGAAGAAAAAAACCACAACAAAGTAACATCGAGACAGTCTATCCATGTACTATTTTTACTATAATGTGGGCAGAAATTCTAATTTTATAGTGGTAATCTTTGCACTGGTGTTCTGTCAGGAGAAAAGTTTGAGGACCATAGTTATATACCATCCTCAAGAACTCAAAATCAAGTAAAATGTGTATAACCAGAATGCATAGCTTATCATATGTAACTCTGAAAAAGCTGGTTCTCACAATGACCCTGTGAGACACATCTTCCTAGAAAAACAGAAGAATGTCGAACATAATGGAATGGTCCCATTTCAGTGACGTGACAGGAGTACCATGGGACATAACCCCGAGGAAAAGTGAGCTTTCACTAGATAATGACTAGTCACTGTTTATCAGGGGTCAAGATGAAGTACTAGGACTTCCCATGGACTCTCTCAATTCATCCTCACAACAAGCCAGTGCCACAGGTTCTATTATTAGATTCGTGAGAAAACAGAGGTCCTGAGAGATAAAGCAACTTGCCTGTAGTAACACAGTCATTAAGTGGTGGGATCTGGAAATAGACCCAAGTCCACCGACCACAAAGCCAAGCTTGTGAAGCACCACTCTGTGGTGACATGACCCATTTACTAATCTCCTGAGTCTCAGAATTACTGTGAAGAGAGTCCTGACTCAGCCATATCTTATGTGATATGATAAGTGTTACAACACAGGTAACGGCAAATGCCGTAAACTACATAAAGAAGCTACTACATTCTTGAAGGAAGTTTCCTAGGGCTCATAAGAGGTTCCAGCAAAGAGATAACTGTTAATGATGAAGATTTCACCAAGCAGGAAAAGGTGGAGAGAGAAGGTATCCTTCCAAAGGGAATGATGTGAACAGTGGGCAGAGGCAGAAAGCTGACCTTCCTGTCCAGGAAATAATAAGTACTCCAACTCTAGCTGACACATGAACACAGGAAACAAGAGAGGATAAGAGAAGCAATCTGAAAAGAAGTAATAGGAAATATGATGCTAAAGAGTCTGGAATTTACTCCATAGAAAATAGGAGACTTCTGTTTTAAGGGACCTGAATGACCCTGTCTACATGTGGAAAAGTTAAGAACAGGGCAAAGGATGAACAGGGCATGTGATGGGGTAATTGTACAAGAAGTAATATAGAAATAAAATATCCAGGACGTGGTAAGTAATGACAAATTGGAAGTGGAAAAAGAGGAGGAAGGAGACATCTGACATTGATGGACAGGGTGAGCAGATGGACAGTGATAGTTTTAAACGATACCCATGCCATGCGGAAGGGGAGGCACACAGTGAAAGAACAGTGATTTCCTTTCAGACATGGGATCAGGTCCAGCAGGCAGAATAATTCTAGAGTCCTCCTTGCAAGGAAAACACCTGCCGTCCTAACACTTTTGCTATTTCATCTTTTCTTTTGTGGGATCGTCCTCAAATTCATGGACATAGTTTTGGTGGGCACCGTAAATTTCATTTGATTTTTTTTTCCTCTAAGGCTGTTTTAATTTTCTCTAACTTTTCTTTAGATAAATACTTTATTCACCAACCATTTGAAAATATCAAGCATAAAGGTGAATATCATTTTCTAGGGATTTATACAAGGTATTCATCTGTTACATAATGTCTGGTTGAGTAAAATCTGTGACCTTCTAACATTGCTTTCCATGATCAAAGGAAAAAATAAGTTTCATGAAACAATGTACCATATAAATACATGTGTATCATGTATTAAATTAACATAAAAGTTACTTTTACTATATGAGATGCACTCTGATATTTTATATTTTTAATTCATTTTTAATGGTTGCCTCTGCTCCCTAAATTAATTTTTAAATCCATAAATGAGTCACATCCCACAGTCTGATAAACTCTGAGATTATCCTTCATAAAGGACGAGTAAGTGTTAATTTGAATAGATTGTAACCAGATGCCTTAAATGTTAACACCCACACTGACTTACATGCTCTTTATTCTCTTCTCTCTCAATTTTTTTAAAGATCTTATTTATTTATTTGACAGAGAGAAAGAGAGAGACAGAGAGAGAAGGAACACAAGCAGGGGGAGTGGGGGAGGGAGAAACAGGCTCCCCACCGAGCAGAGAGCCTGATGTGGAACTAGATCCCTGGACCCCGGGTCATGACCTGAGCCGAAGGCAGACGCTTAACGACAGAGCCACCCAGGTGCCCCTCTTCTCTCAATTTATTTGACAAAGTAGATATGGGAATTGGGGATCTTTCCTGGGATCTACCCACCACATTCTCCAGCAGACCCATCTGAGTCGACAAGTTCCAAGAATTAAATTCATCTGAAGAAGTCGGAGGCCCCACAAAGGCCTTGGATCTACGCTCTCTTCTCTAGCTGAGCTTTACCAGAGAGCTCTGCACAGTAATCCAGGGACCCTTGCATAGCTATTAATAAAGCTGGATTCTAATTTTATTAGATATCCCTGCAAATAAAACCCTTGGATCTTCACAGAGTTAGGGAAAGAGCAGGATAAGCGCTGGAGCAGAAAACAGACATTCCTGAGCCGCTGGCCATACTACAATCATAATAGCACAAAAATCTCTTCTCTAACCACTAAATTATGTGACATCTTTTTTTCCATCTGAGTGTCCTATCTGTAATATATTCCCACGATTATATTGCTCTGTTTCTCTCCTTTTAGGTGCCTGGTGTTGCAACAGATTTGCTTTTAGCACATGTTCAGCCCAGGCCAATATTTTCTTGGCATTTTGAGTTACTTCATGTCATCTTTTCATAGATTGGCATCTTTAAGATCTCGACTGGTGCCGTCAACATAACTTTTTCTGCAATAATTGAGACATTCTCTGTGTTATCAAATTTGTTGGCTGCTAGCCATCTACGCCTATTAAGCACTTAAAATGTGGCAAATGTGATGGGAACTGAATATTTTCTTTGTATTTTTATTAATTTAAATTTTAATTTAAATAGCTATGTGTAGCTAGTAACTACCGTATTGACAGCCTCATTCTTGACACTGAGGCAGCAAACTTTTTTTCTACAGAGCCAAAGAACAGACATTTTAGGTTTTGTGGGCCACACAATCTCTGTGGCAACTAGGTGACAATCCTATAATAGCCACAGAGAACAAGTGAATGAACATGTGTACCTCTGTTTCAATAAAACCTTATTTGCAAAAATGATCAAAAGGACCAATTTACTCTGATGGGGTAAATTTGCCAGCCCCTGTCCTAGACTGTCAGTTTTCTGGGATATATCTATAGTATCATTTTAATTTCCTGGACTTATAATTCTCATTTACTATCCGCTTTTTAATTCATATTCTATTAGTTGATATATATTCATAGGAGGTAAAGGGTATTTCTCAAAGGCTTTACTTTCATAATGATACTAGTGAATAAGTCTAATTAATTTTTTTTCTAATGGCTTCCATGGTCATCAGTTTTACAGATACAATAGACCTCTTCACTTAAAAATTCTTATTATAAGACTGGCAAGTATCCAGATGAACACAGTCTTCCTAGTCCCCATAAGACATAGGGGGTCTAGAGCCAAGAATCCACAATTCTGGCCGTAGTACAGAAACCTTGCCTATTCTTCAAAATGATTCCTGCAGTCAGTTCTTCTCATCCCGTATCTTGTTTTCTCTCCACAAATCCCAGCTTTAACTGGTAAAAGGAAGGAACACACTTCCTGTGTCTTCCAGTCATTCCATTTTTGCCTCAAGTGCATCACAGTCAATGGAGGGGGTTTCAGCAATATCCTCAACCACACAGGAATTAGGTGTGATAGATATGGTCAAGGGGGTTGGCAACCTCCTCCAACTCCCCATCCAAGAAAACCACATACCTCTGACTGGCCATCTTGAATGAATCACTCAATGAGTGCCCTCAACATTAAGACACATCTTTTTTTTTTGAGGAGCTGGTTACACTTTGTCTCACAACCTGCAGCTCTTCCTTGAGAATTGCTCATTTACCATTAACATGGAAATAAATGGAAATTTTCTAGGATAAACACATCCGTTGTACTAGATCTGACAATAACATAAAAATGCTGAGAGAAATGAGTAGAGGAGAGGCCCAATGAGAGGCCCTGGGTGAGCACGGCAGAGGGAGACGTCATGGCTCTTCACCTAAAGCACACCTCAGCCTTGCCCACTGCTAAAAGGAGGCTGAGTCCTCAGTCTCTCAGTGTTTGTGTAGACAGATACAAGAGGCAAGCACACAGAGGACAATAACACACACAGCAAGACCTCAATAAATGCTAGTTTCCCCTTCCTTCCTCTAAATTTATGAAAATAAGTGACTTTAAACAGGAACCTTTCTGAAGGCCACACCTCACAGTGTGTGTGGGATTAGAGAGGACAGAGAGGACTTAGAAGCAAAATATTATTTCATTTGATATTTTGTGCCCAGTAATGACATTTTATTTTCAGCAAACTTTAGTTTACTTGACTTTCACCAAAATAAAATTGATATTGAACCAAATTAATAATTCTGAAAGTATATATTAACACAGACTTTAGATCTTTCACATAGTCTGTGGACTGTCATGTAGCAGCAGAGTAAAAAAGCAGAGCTGTGTTAGAGACCATCTTGGCTTGAGAACGCTAGCAGAATCTCAGATTGAAGCCACTTACTTGGACATGAAGGCACCACATCTTATTCTTGCATCACTCCCCTCGGGAAACAGTAGTTCCGGACTGTACAACACATCAACCAACACAGAGAATTCAGCTTGCATCATTGGGCTGAACTGTTGCTCCAACGAGGCCACTACATCCTAAGGAATAAAGCACAAGAGAACACACATGAAGACCTAACTCAGATTTCATCATGTGAAGATATGACGAGCCTGAGAATACTAACCAGAAACATGACGTGGGAATTTCAGAGATGTGCCCTACCTTCCCGTGGCATCAAATGTCTGGACTTTAAGTATTCTGCATGAATACTGCTTGGGTCACCTTTTTTACTTACAAGGTAAGAGACAGGTGGGTAGGCATATGATTTTCAAGGATATATATACAAGGTGAAAAGTTAGTAAAGTTAGTAAAGCCACTGTTACCAGTATCTAGGATTTTAATGGACACAGGACAGGTATTCAGCAAATTAGAATAAATTGGGGTATGTTTGAGGAACAGCTTAAATAAAGAGTCCATATGTATTTCTGGTCATCTGGAACCAACCTTATCTTCCCATGGGGCCAACTCCTTGACATATCCTTTGAAGCAGTATCAGCACTTCACAAGGGTTTGATGACATTTAATACTATTTCAAATTATATCTTTTTGATAGATATTATTGGGCCCCTACCCAACAGCCTTACTTCATCCTTTTCCTTGCTAATAGGACCCCTACATTGTTTCTCAATTAGGCAGCAACATTGTCAGGGAAATGAGCCCCCTCAGCTTAGGATCACGGTGGATTAGTTTATGTCAGTCATGGTCATTCCAGTTCCTCTGACAGGGCTTAGTCTAGACATGATGATGTGACACTGTTCTTGCTAATAGAACATTGGGTGAAATCAGTTGAGCAGGCAGTGATGTGTGTTAAGGGAGGCAGGGCCAACTCTTGAAACGACCTATGGCTCTCAAGACAGCTTAAGAATGTGAACCCAAAATGTGAGGCAGCCCCGATATGACTCTTGGAGACCAACCTTAACAGAAAGCCAACAGACCAACAGTGTTAGGTCTCCTCTCTCTTGAACTACTAAATTAACCAGCTCAAGAAGAGCCCTTGCTATGTGAAATGGCATATTTTTTATTGTTTAAGCCACTTTTCATTAAAATCGTGTCAATTACAGCTGAAAGCATTCTCACTGACATGTTTGTAAAATGGGTGTGGGCAATGACAATTTACTAAACATTCTTTAATGACTAAAGCATCCCCTTTGGGGTTTTAAAATAACTATGTTAAAAGAACAAAAAAAATATTCTCACATAGAGCAATATTTTATTCACTCATACTTATGACATATTTTGTTCAGCAGAAAACTGATTGCCAATTGCTATTGTTACTTTCAGCTATGGCAACACAGCTGGGGTACCGCCTCTCTTGATTTCTTACGGCTAGATTTCAGTAGTGAACTCTCGTTTAACTCTTCCTTCCCTTTTTAGCAAAAGTGATTATTTCTACTTCAACTATTCTAATAAGCTTTCTGAGAAAATTCTGATGACAGTTAAAAGAAACTACCAGGAAGGCAATAACACAAATGGGAAACCAGATATTCTATAATGTGGGAAGAGAATATGCTTAACAAATTTATGACTAAATTTAATAAAATGTCACTAAAATGTGCCTATTTTTCAGATTACCTCTCTTCATTTCATTACTAAACAAATTATGGGCAGGCTCCTATGATGTGAATTCTGTCTTTAGCTTTTATTTTGATTATGGGGCAATTATGAAACTCTCTAACTCATTACTTCCCCCATGTGAAAAGTCAGGATAATGATACAATCACATGGGTTTGCTGTGAGGATTAAAGGTAAGTACACAGAACAGTGTCTAACACATACCTGCCACTTATTATTCCTCAATAAATGTTTGTAATCGTCACTGTTGAGTACTAGTTACTTGCAGTCATGACCTTTCTTAACTAATCCAGTGGTTATTTTGTTGTCCTGTGAAGCATTTTACACAATTGCTTCTACTCTGTCAAACCCTTTCTGCTCGTGGCTTCTGGGACACCACACTTTCTCTATTTTCCACCTATATTCCAACCTTCCTTCACCAACTCCCAGTAGCTCCTGGTCCTTTCTTGTGAGAAATCTCATCCAAGTCCATGGTTTTAATATCATATATATGCTGGAACATCCCAAATTTATATTTCCTGTTGGACATCTTTCCAAAACACTCTGGACTCATATATCCAGGTGCCTATTTGACATATCCACATGGATATCGAAAGAGACATCTCAAACTTAAAATCCCACACATAGAATTCCTAATTACAGTTCTCCCATTCTTAGCAAATGAGTCAATCATATCATATCCTCTCTTCTTCTTTCCAACACCCCACAACTCATCCACCCATCTACCAAGTCCTGTTGGCCCTACAACCAAATACATCTAAAATTAATCTCCTTCTTTTCAGTACAATCGGTACCCCCATTAGCCAAGCTGCCATCAATTTTTGCCTCAATTAATACAAGAAAGTCACTGCTTCTATGTCTCGACTCTATAATCTACTCATCATGCAAAGTCCAGTGATCTTCTAAAAAGTAAAGTCATGCTTATCGTCTACTGAAGATCTCTGGTGAGTGGCCCTCTCACTTAGAATAAAATCCAAATGCCTTACCATGCAAGTCTCTACTTGATTTGGCTTCTAATATCATAATCTTCTCCTTTGTTCACTCTACTCCTACCCCAATGTGCTTTTCTTGGCTCCTCAAACCCACCAACTTCACTCCTGCCTACGAACATTTGCATTTACTATTTCCTCCCAGTCAAAATCTCTGTCCTCAAATCTTTGAATAGATTATTCCTCTACTTTGTTCAGGTCTCAAATCAAATGTCACCTCAACAGAGAAGAGTTCCCTGCTATAAGATCATTCTCCCAGTATGTCTTCACCATGTCGTTACCATGCCTTATTTTATTCATAGCTGAGTTTTATTTTAAGATTTTATTTATTTATTTGACAGAGAGAGACACAGCAAGAGAGGGAACACAAGCAGGGGGAGTGGCAGAGGGAGAAGCAGGCTTCCCACTAAGCGAGGAGCTGATGCATGGCTTGATCCCAGGACTCTGGGATCACGACCTGAGCAGAAGGCAGACGCTTAATGACTAGGCCCCCCAGATGCCCTATTCATAGCAGTTTTAATTACCCAACATTATGTCATTCATCTAAGAGGTGAGAATCCTTGTTCCATTAGAGCACAGGACTCATGGCTCTATCTTTAGCACACAGTAGTTGGTATTGAGTTTTTACTAAATACGTATTTATTTAATGAGTGTACCAACCCATGCCCTCTCTATGCTGGCTAACACTTCTACCCATCTCTCATCTGAAATATTCTACTCTTTTCACTCTCATAAACCTGACTCCTCTTCTTCCTGCCTTTTGTCTTTCATATTTAGCCATTCTGCCACACCTGGCCTCTTATAAGATTCTCTTTGTTTTCCCTATCACTATATTCTCCCTTTTAGCAACACCATCCACTGTCCTTGCTCCAACTAATATCTCCAAATATAGGCTTAACTTCCAATACATGTAATAGCCTGTTAATGTGATTCAGCATAGTAGCAATGACCACAGCCAACCTCCTTCTACTGTATTCTCTCCTTCACCTCTATAATAAAAAGTCTTACTAATAACACCTAGTTTCCAATCATCTTTCTCCCTCTCTCCACCGAAGGCAGTTCTGCTGACCCTGCCTTCATTATTGGACATGATCCCTGTTTCTTCAATTCATTCACGCTGCCACCTGGCTGAGATAGTTAGTGATGCTTTTTTTCTTTCTTTCTTTCTTTCTTTCCTTCCTTCCTTCTTTCTTCTTCTTCCTCTTCTTCTTTTAACCTCCACCTTCCCCTCCCCCTCCTCCTCCTCCTCTCTCCCTTTTTTTTTTTGAGAGAAAAGATAGGGAGGGGCAGAGGGAGTGAGAGAGAATCTTAAGCAGGCTCCATGCCCAGTATGGGGCTCAATCTCACAACCCTGAGATCATGACCTGAGTGGAAATCTGGCGTCAGACGCTTAACTGACTGAACCACCAAGGCACCCCCGATATTCAGGGATTCTTAACTAGTTTGTCCTCTTCTAGTCTCTTCCTGATAACTCTTTTCTGCAAACCAATAACTGTTTTCATTTTATTTTATTTTATTTCTTTTCAGTGCTCCAGAATTCATTGTTTATGCACTTATGCACCACACCCAGTGCTCCATGCAATATGTGCCCTCCATAACACCCACCACCAGGCTCACCCAACCTCCCACCCCACTCCCCTCCAATATCTGTTTAATAACTTATAATGACATTTTCACCCAAACTTTCAGTGAATTATAGCCTTCAAGTTCTTCATACTGAGTCTAACTTGTCTTTTTAATTCATATAGCATTCAGCTATTAAAACTCTGAACCTCCACCAATTATCCTACATGTGACCTCTCACAATATTTATTCCAGTTCATGTCTTGACTATTCTCCAAGCCAAACAATTTCCTCAAACCATATCCTAATTCACTCCATGAAATCACCTGCAATTATGTGGGTGGGAAGATTTCTGGTATGGTTTGAATTGTGTCTCCCTAACAAAACTCATAAGTTGAAGTACTTCAGAATGTGACTATAATTATAGATTGGACCTATAAAGAGATAATTAAGGTAAAATGAATCCATATGGGCATCTCTCATCCAATATGACTGGTGTCCTTATAAGAAGAGGCAATAAGGATACAAACACGTATGTGCACAGAGGAAGGACCATATAAGGACACAGTGACAAGGCAGCCACCTGCAAGCCAAGGAGAAGGATCTTGGGCTTCTATCTCCAGAACTGTGATAAAATAAATTTCTATTGGTTAAATTGCCCAGTCTGTGGTATTTTGTGATGGCAGCCTAAGCAATTGAATATAATGTCTCTCTTTACTTGATGTCCCAGAATCTAGGCCAAGCACAGGATTGGAATACTATGCAAATAATGGTGCTTCCACTATTTTCACCAAAGGAGTATAAAAGAATACTAACAGATTAACTATAGCAGGGTTATGAATATTTAATTTATTACCTGAGAACTTATGGTAACTTATTTTTCCAAGTTTTATTACTGAGTTTTATTTTGATATCAAGACCCATTACTATACTATCAAGCACATTAAATAATACATACTCACTAAAAATAACAACTTTTACCTGGAAGCCATGCTTTTGAAAAGAGTAATATTGATAGGGAATTGTAAAGTAAAGCCTGGTCCCCAACTAGAACTTGATATTTTTAACCATATTCTACTTGTGTTACTATATATGTTAAAAATTATAATTTAGAAATTGGTAAGCCACTGCATGTTCTTAATGTACCTGTAACTTTTCAATAATATTTCTATAATCCCAAGAAGGCCCTCCAAGAGCTTCCTTAAAGCGTGGTCCAGAGCGAGCAGATAGTCTCCAACCCATGGCAGCTCTCTGCACCATATTGGAATGGCTCTTCAGGAAAAGGGTATTGACTTGGCTGTCCAAATCCACCGGAATAGCAATCCCACGATTCTTTGCTGAAAAAGAGAGAATTAAAATATTTTTTCTCTTAATTTGACTACAGGTTCCTACACATTAATGAAATAATCTTATAAACAGAACAAATAAAGAAAAAGACATAACTTCTGTGATGTAATAGACAGTATGTGACTATTCTTAATAATACTGTATTATCTATTTGTAATTTGCTGAGATAGTAAATATTAAAAGTTCTCACAAGAAAAAAATTGTAACTATGTGAGGTGATGGATGTTAACTAAATTTATTGTGATAATCATTTTGTTATATATGCATATATCAAATCATTATGTTATGCCCTTAATATAATGTTATGTATCAATTATATCTCAATAAAACAAGAAAAAAAATCAAATCTTTAAACTCTGCCATCAAATTATTTTCTATAACTACAAAAGCTTTTAACCTGAAAGCATTTCAATTCTTAAGACCAATTATTAAAGTGAGCTCATTAAACATTCAAGACCTTATTTGATTTCTTGCTGATTAATGTCTGAAATGCACTTCATATAGCATCAATATAGAAAACAGTATAAAATGACCATGCAAATTTGTGCTTTCCCAGCTGCCATGGAAAATAAGAAAGCAGACAGGAAACACGTGATAAAATCCTGCCAGTCTGTTCATTAGTATAATTGTTGTGTATGTGTGAATGCATACACACGTGCACACACAAAATTTCACGTAGTAAAACAGCTGAAAGAAGAAATAAAAACTTTGATAGTATAAAAATCTGCATTTGAAAGGAGCACATTGTGCATGTCCTTCTTTCTAAAATTCACTAAAATATATATTTTATCAGACTTGTATCACAGCACTGAAAAAAATGAGAATGCTTGCCATAAGGAAAACAGAAATGTTGAGGCATTTTTGCAAGCAGAATGAAGACAGGATTAGTCCCTCAGAGAAGGAGGACATTCACTGCTCTACAAGCGATAAGAGAACAGGTCTTCCTCAGAACAGAGTCAACCAACACCAAGGGTGGTAACTGGGGATAAGGGAATTGTCTGGGCAACACATTAAAGAATAGCATGTGCATCGCTGGAAGTTAAGGTCCTCCCCGCTCCGACTAGCATAAATAGTGCAGTTAGCAGCAGCAGTATTTATCCAGAGTATAAAATTAGGGAATCACAGAAAGATCCTCTCATGAAAGTGAAATACCTGCCTGGAGAGAATGCCAAAAGAAGGTGTCAGGACTTGACAGAGAGCTTGAAGTAACTCCAGAGATCTTCATCAAATAAGTAGAATAGGGGACAGAGAAGAGGCAGCACAAAGAAAAAATATACAAGACTCTAAGCCCTGAGCAAAGCTCTCCTATTTCAACATTATCAGTATTCTCAGCTGGTCTTCTGCTTCACACACACACGCACATGTACACACACACACACACACACACACACACACACGGAATACCTGTGTATCATTTATTCAGTCCCTCACCCAGAAGTCTGGGTCAGACCTGGCATTTATGCAAGCATGCTAGTAGAGAAACATACCCTTAAAACTGGAGTGGGTCCAATGCAGTCATTACAGACCTTTACAACCGTGAGCATATGACAAGAATCATAGAGCAAACTAAGAATGTTAAGAATAACTGGCCCCAGTGAAATCAGAAATGATTCAGGGAAGAACCAAAAATATTTAAATAATTCTGATTTTTGTCTTCAGAAAATGTGGGTAGATACTACTTCCCCCAAATTAGCAACTCAGAAAAAGGAAGAAATTTTGGAAATTAAAATATAATTGCACAAATAAACACTTCAAAATGGCTGAAAAAGAAAAAGATAAGAATAAAGACCAAGTTCATAATCTGGGAAAGTCAAAGTACCTTCTAGAACATAAAGCATAAATGATCAAAAAGGGGAGTAAAAAAGAGAGAATATGAAATGGAAAGAGTCATCCAGGAAGTCAAATATCTAAAACCTCTAAGTTACAGAAAGAAATATCAGAGACAATGAAGGAAAGAAATTATTAAAAAAATAATAAATGACAATTTACTTGATCTGAAGAAAGATGTTATGTCTTTAAACTGAAAGGATCCACTGCGTGTGAAACAGGATTAAATAAGCATATTGACCATATTCTGGTAAAAACTGACAATGCTATCATGGGTTGAGTCATGCCACCCAAAAATATACATTCAAGTCCAAATCATAGATACCTGTGAATTTGACCGTATTTGGAAATAGGGTCTTTGCAAATGTATTCAAGTTAAGATGAAGTCATCCTAACTTGACCTCACTAAGGCCTAACTAAGGCCTAACTAAGGCCCACCCTTATCCAATACAAGCGCTGTCCTTATAAGAAGGGGGTAAGGGAAACAGAGACACACAGGAAAGGGACACAGAGGGAAGAACACCATGTGAAGATCAAGGCAAAAGGATTTACGCAATTTCAAGTCAAGGAATGTCAAGGGCTGCCAGCAAACACCGGAAGTGAAGAGGAAGGCATGGGGTCTCGGAGTATGGTGCACTGACAGCTTGATTTCAGCCTCCAAAATTGTGAAATAATAAACTTCTATTTTTGTAAGCCACCTCATTTGGGAAATTTGTTGTGGTTGCTCCACAAAACTAATAGAAATGCCAATAGCCAAGAAATAAAAAGAGGATTTCTACAGAAAAGAGACAGGCACCAAACTTCTCACCGTCAATATTGTATGCTAGAATCAGTAGACTAATATGTTGAGGAGCTAATGGATAACAAATTTTGAAACTAGGAGTTTATACCCATCTAAACTGAAAATCAGAAGTGATACCTGGATAAAAACATTTCAGAACATGTAAGTCTCAGAATTTTTTCTCTAAACCCATGATAAAAATCACAAAAAAGAGAGAAAGGAATCCAAGAAAATGTCGACATGAATATGAGAAACTTTGGAAAATGAATATGAGCCTGAAGAAGAGAATAAAGCAAGACACACATGTAGAAGATCCATTAGATGTTCATGGTTAGGAAATTGTCTTCCATTTGGAAAAGTCTCAATACCATTACACTCCATCTTTGTCTCTAATGCTTATAAAGTGAAAAATATTTACTTATCATAATATGGTAAGGTCTGATCGCTGATTTTTAAATCTTATCATTCTCTAAAAGATTTCATTATATTTCCAAATAGAATACAAATTTCAGAAATCATAACAACATAAACTCAATAGTCTATTAAGCAATAATCACAACATAGGTCGGGAAAGAAGAGGTCAAAATGAAGGCAATATGTTATGTTCCTTATTTTTCAGTGTGGAAATATAGGTATTATTTACAGCTGTTAAGTCAAAAGACAGAGATATAAGGATATTATTTAAAGTTATCATGATAGTCTCTGTCAGACTTTTTTTAAAAGATTTTTTATGTATTTGAGAGGAGAGAGAGAGAGCATGAGTAGGGGGAGAGGCAGAGGCAGAGGGAGAAGCAGGCTCCCCACTAAGCAGGGAACCCAACACAGGGCTCAATCCCAGGACCCAGAGATCCTGACCTGAGCTGAAGGCAGATGCTTAACCGACTGAGCCACCCAGGCACTCCCGGAAGATGTTTTTAATGAATGAAACTAGAAAAGACAGAAAAGAGAGAGAGAAAGGGAGAGAATCTGGTTTGCTTCATATAATGAAAGGAAAGCAACAACAGTTGGCCTTACTACTTCTGCTGGTGAAAATTCTCTTAAGTAGAAGGATATTTTAAAACTTCTTTGAAGATATGGTCCATATATACAATGGAGTATTATGCCTCCATCAGAAAGGATGAATACCCAATTTTTGTATCAACATGGACAGGACTGGAGGAGATTATGCTGAGTGAAATAAGTCAAGCAGAGAGAGTCAATTATCAGTGGTTTCATTTACTTGTGGAGCATAAGGAATAACACAGAGGACATCGGGAGATGGAAAGGAGAAGGGAGTTGGGGGAAATCGGAGGGGGAGATGAATCATGAGAGACTGTGGACTCAGAAACACACTGAGGGGTTTTGGAGGGGAGGGGGTGGGGGGTTGGGTGAGCCTGGTGGTGGGTATTGTGGGGGGTATTGTGGGGGGCTCCATATTGCATGGAGCACTGGGTGTGGTGCATAAACAATGAACATTGGAACACTGAAAAAAAAATTAAATTTAATTTAATTAAAAAAAAAAAAACTTCTTTGAAAACAGATAACCTTAGCTACCAACACAAAAATTTACCAATTCAAACAAGAGCTGTAGCTGAAATCTAAGGAAATACTGAAGCTCTAAGGGAAACCCTAAACCATCAATTGCACCACTGCCCAAACTTCCCTTGTGAATGTTTTCCTATATTCATGGTAAAGGTCCCTTTTCCAAAGCATACATGGTATCTGTTTATGTCCATTACACACAGCGGAGCAACCGCACTTCCGTTCCTTCTGAAGGACAGACGGCCTCGCCACTGCCAGGCTGCACATATTTTTATAAATACTCAATCTTGCACCATGATCAAATCCTGGCAAGACTTTGATCCCTGTCTGGCTGCTTCACACATAAGCTGGGCTCGCTCTGCACATTCGGAAGTCAAACAGAAGACAATGCTGTTATATGTTATTTTCTAAGCAACGAAGAAACAAAAATGTATAAACGTCAACATTTCTCAACATATATCGTAACCGAGTTTATGCTAACATTTAAAAAAAATTGAGGAGGGGATTGGGATTTATCTCCCCTTTAGGAATGAAGTACATTAGCTACAACTGACCATCAGCTAAGTGTCGTTGCTATGAATAGAACTTACACAAAGAAGGACTCAATGAATATTTTTCTAATGACACCAGTGGAGATGCAGTCCAATGGCAGGACGTCTGTTAGTCTCAGCAGTACAGACTTCTAATTAGTGACCTCAAGAGAATCACACCCACTTCAGATATTTCTGCCACAATCCACTATAGCCAATGGCACAGACAGACCAGACTCAGGAGAATTCACTATCTCAAGCTTTGTCGAAAGGGTTGTTTGTTTGTTTGTTTACTTTCCCCAAACTGTACTACTTTAATGGGTATCTTCTA